GCATACCGGATCCGACACAAGATACAACTCGTACCACAAGATCCTCACACGCCCAATTGGCCCGAGAGCTTTGGAGATGTTCTCAAAGTAGAGGTGGTTTGCCTGCACTTTCGCACTTTTCACCACCTCGCGGAAGATCCCAAGGAAGGGCTGTCCACCCGGGTACATGGGAACATTTGTGGTAGGGTATGCTGCGCGGTACTGGGTTTTACAACGATATAGGTAGTCAGTATGGCCGGCACATAAACAAGATGACTGTACTCGGTATCCAACAGACCAGGGAATAAAGCGTCGCCAAACCTCCGGCGGCAAGCAAGATTGCGACCGCCGGGTTGCGTTGAAGGGCATCGAGTGCTGGGGCTACTGCGTGGTCGAGATTGTTCAAGAACATCGTGAGGATGAATAGTGTTTCTCGGTGGAGTTTGGGTTAAAGAGTGGAGGAGGGAGGGATTCATGGGTCTACTTATATAGCAGGTCTGGGTGGCTGGCGACATGGCTCCCATGATGTTCGGACAACCGACGCGACGCGACCGACAAAGCGCGACGTGTCCGCTTCCTGCTGTGTCCAAATGTAAGCGAACACTGCTTCTCTTTCGGTGTCCCGGACGCCGATACAACGACTCGCATAGGCAGACAACTGGCCCGCAGAACAAGAGCTTTGGATTGGCCACGCGCAACTTTGCTGCCATTGTTGGCGACAGTGGGTTGACAGCCTCTGCGCAGTGCGTCTGTAGCAAGGATGGAAGACCGCTGCCCGGATCTTTCAAGAACCGGGTACCCAAAGTACCTGTTGGACCTCACCAACTGAAATTGACCTTTCGGTTTTTCGATAGTGACGCTCTGTGCGACTTCAATGGATTGGACCATTGTGCACCCAATCATTCATTTTCGGATGTTAGAGCTGCTGCGGTCAGGGTATCGAAGAATTGTTGGACCAAACGCAAAAGCAAAACTCGACATCGAGCAGCCTACTGTCAAGATTGAAAGTGGTGCGATTGAACAACATATACACAAATTGAACTGTTTAAAATGCAAACACAAGGTAGGAGCTGAACCAAAGTCAGCATTCCGGTGACATCAAGCCTGCACCCATGGTGCGTAGGTCGGGTGGAGTCAATCAAACAACTTGTTAAGAAACATTGCGAATCCCAATTTTTCAAAAACATGGGGTATCCAAATCTGAAAAGAAAACCAACACACTACCACTGAGTTGCCGAAATCCCTCCCTACTGTCCCTCCCCATAATCGAACGCTTTTATGAACAAAAACCCAATGGAAAGCCAAATCATCTCTTTGTTTCATACCATACCAATCAGTGATCCAATCAGAAGTCATTGGAATTACCGCTTTGGTGATAAGCAGGCAGACTACAAACCCAGATATTCACAGGATTGTGAGGCAGAGAACTTACCATCAAGCGGATCAGACACGACGTTTGCGCACGGGGGGTGGAAGATGCTGTGATGGTGCGGGATGGGATGAAATGGTGATGGGTTTTCATCAAATGTCGACCAAGCCCCCCCGCGCAAACTAGAAGCACGGACCAATAACGCTAATGAAGGAAAGGGGGAAAGTAAAGGGAAATTGGTTAATAACTCTCTTTTTCTCATCACAAAACCGGCATACTGAAGGACTGCTAAGAGAAGCCATGCCCAGCAATACGGATGGCGAAACAGTACGTCTCTCCTAACACCCTTCGTCAAGGCACATACGCAGAGAGTGATACCAGTGAGAGGCCTAGGATAAAGTCAACCTCCACTATTCGGGGCATTGAACACCCTTTGGGTGCATGTTTCCCGTTTGTATCCCTCCGCAGCCATATTAAGAATGTCCTCCCAAAACCGCAATTTCAACCCCCATGCTAAAATTGGGGGGTTGGGCCAACCCGTCCAAACCAATTGACTTACGCCGGGGGGGAGACCATGTTGAAGGTGTTTTTGATCGGCGTAATGTTGGTGTAATGTTGAACGTGTTTTTGCTCGGCGTGTTTTGTAGCTACGCTTGATCGTCGTAATGTTGCATGGTGTTCTTGCGCGGCGTAGGCGTAATAGATTCTTGCTCGGCGTTTTTGGTGGAGGTGGGGGTCTCCCCTTTAAACCCGACTACACAGAGGTTTGGAGTCTCGATGGGTCGCTAAAGGGCCAGCGGCGGAGACATCCCGGCCTTCTCCTTCGCAGTCTGCTGCCCATTCGCTTCCCTTCCTTGCACATACCTTGGACTGGCCATGTTCGTGCAGGACCCGTCGGTTGTGGTGGTTGTGCTGTGGTTGGTGCAATGTGTATGGTGTAGTGGGGGGAGCGATGCCATGGTGAAGTTGGACGTAGATTCTGAGACTGGTTGTTCTGTTGTCTGTCCAGACCACGTGACTGACGCGTCCAAGACAGGGGCAGTGCTGCTGGTGCTGTCCACGATGAAAAGCATCAAGATGTTATTCTTGTTATTGCAAATCTGAAGTTTCTTTGCCCCGTGGAGGACACGTTTGAAGCGCAAGTGAAAGGAGCAAGGGCCCAGCAGTTTTGCGCATAATTTTGAAATGCTTATGCCGGCGGATGTCCAAAACCCACACCTGATATGATAGCCATCAGTGCAGTTGTGTGGTCAGTCTTAAATTTTTCTTAAAAGGTTCTGCCTTCTGTTCCAAGCGGGTATCGGCACGCTTGAAGCGCCTGGCGTGGCCGGTCCAGCACATGCACGGTATCCAATTTAACTCTCAGAAAACCACAATCTCCAATTTGATATTAATGCCTTCAACGGTTCACAAATTCGCGCCCAATGCGTCCAGCGCTCCAGTCGTCTTGTCCTTGTACTCTTTGACCAAACCCGACACAGCTCTAAACTGTGGGTGATTCGAATCGCCCATCAACTCGAATAGGATCGATTCGGACGACGTGATGGTTGCGCCGGCCCTGCCCAGTCCCTGAAGTATGGTTTGTGTTAACGAAATCTGGGGAGGGAGCGATGGTGTCGGGGTTGGTCAGGATTCTTACCGTAAGCGAGATCTTAGCTTCGTGTCTGTTCATGGAGGATACGCCGTCGGCCAGAACGATGACGTGGTAATCTTTTGCGAGAAAGTCGAGCGCCGTTTGAAGGACGCATACATGCGACTTTTGCGTGTTGGAACCAAATGAAAAGGTAAGTCTCGAGTGCCGGCCGGGTACGGTAGCACCTGGATTCACATAGGACACCGGTCCCTTACCTCAATTCCAAACAACACCACCGACTTGATCTTCTTCTCCTTGATGAAGCCTTCCACTTCCGGAACCATCATGGAAAACTTTGTTTTGGCGGCGACCACCGCGGCGTTCGAGATGTCCAGCTCTTTCACCGTTGAACCCAGCGCTGCGGAAGGAGACAAACGTGGATTTAAGTTCAAATTGGAAGACGTAGGGCACGCGGACTCAAACCTTTTGGATTCTGTTCTGTAACGACCACAGGAATGTTCAGGAGCTTTGAAGCCGCAACCTGTAGCAAAGAAAGGTTGCGGCAAAGAATATTGAGCGGCCAGCCCCTTTTCCAGCCAGTCAGTTGATACCCTCGTACCATTTTGGAAGCGGTGTTGATGACATGAGGGTAATTCCATATGAAAGACCGGAACCGCTCCTGGATATCACAGAGGAGGAACGCGGTCGTAGCGGGTGTCGGCGGAGTTCCCGCAGCTCTCAACGCGATTCTCGCTGTGGTAGACAGCATAGTTTTCGAGGCAGCAGGCAAGTAGTGGTTTCAAAGAATGGATGAAATGCAGAACACGAGAACGGAGGCATGAAATTGCAAAGCAGCTGCTCGGTTGAACTCGGCATAACAGCATATCGATCAGCCATAACAGCATAACCGACCCAACCGCCCAATCACCGCCCGCCCACACGGAAACCCAAACCCCAACCTTCGATTCCCAGATCTTCCTCCGCAAAGACCTTCCCTTCTTTTCCACCATGTCAGACAACCTTACGGAACTCATTGAAGGGCCCCGGCAATTCGCAAAGGAGAGCGCGCAGCTGTTGAACCGGTGTACCAAGCCGGACCGGAGAGGTGGGCACCTTTTTGCGGGCGGGTGGCGGTTGTGAGCGCCATGCGTGCTTTCCTGTGGGGTCGAGGAAGACCGCGAGAGTCATTCGTAGTGGGTGGAGTGCGCGTCGCAAACGAGTAATGATATTGTCGGGAGAGGAGGTGAAAGCGAGTGAAGAGCTCCTTCATTCTTCCTCACACATGGGCCAACCTTCCTCCACACAACGTATTAACTTCTTCCAATTTTACCAACCTTGCCCACCCAATTACCAACCTCCAGAATTCCTTCAAATCTCTCAAGCAGTCGCAATGGGTTTCCTGGTCATGGGTTTCATCGGTTTCTTTGTAAAGTTGATCCACATTCCCATCAACAACATCATTGTGTACGTGCTCCATTTCCTTCTAATACCTTCATTTTATGCAATCACTCACTCACCGGGTTTATCATCTCCTTCTTTTGCAGCGGCGCATCATAATCATCAAAAGTTCCTCATGTTGGCGTGACGCTCCAGGCGGGCGGGGAGTGGAGGGAGGAAGATTTTGGAATAGAGGGGGAAAGAGAGCTTTTGACTCGGAAAAGAACAAATGAAATACCATCGATGACCTTTGAACATTTCGGGGCTCTGGCGCTTTCACTGATCTCTTGGGGATGCGACGCCGTCGTCAATCTTTCCAACATCCGTTTGTTCAGGGCTCCCTGGACACCTTCCTTTGGAGGACCTTACCCAGGCACGAGAGGCATATCACGCTCATTGATCCAAAATTATTGACCCCCCTCCCAAAACAATCCCATCACACGCACACACAGGAGAGTTCATCCGAACAAATCACAAATCACATCTGGACATCCCAAGGCATGAGGAGCACCCCGCGTTCATTGATGCAAAATTTTCGACACACCCCGCGGCTCCCCATGTCACCACACGCACACACAGGGCAGTATCTGTCGCTAGTGCTCGAACAAATCCACAAAAATTAAAGGGGAAACAAAGAAAAATTGGAGGCAGTGGGGATTGAACCCACGGCTTCTCGCATGCAAAGCGAGCACTCTACCACTGAGTTATACCCCCTGGTCATATAAAACCTACTCTACCGCGGGTGAACTATATACGGAAAAGCATATTTTCTGGATACCCTGTCGATTTTTACGCAAAATCGTTAGCAAACGTTGTCTATTCCATGCCATTTAGGATGTGTCCATGTGATGGAAGCGTTTGTTGTCTTCATTGCCGCAGGTTTTTGCGGGTTTTCTGGACTGCGCAGCAAGCCCGCCATTCACAAGCGCTTTCACGCCCGGTCGCGGTTCATTATTGAGTCCACAGGCGACTTCTTCAGATACCGAAAAGTTAACCCTGGTTTTTCTGTTGTTAACCTCCACCACGCTCCCATAACACATCCGCATCGATTTATTCCCTTTTCGGCGGGGGTAAGATATCGGCGCGCGAAGACGTGACGCGTAGATCCGCGACAACAGCTGGGGACCAACACATATAGTCCGCCCTTGGTATTGTTAGTGGTAACAGCGGCGGCGGCCCCAATCCGAATGGCTGAACTACTGTAAGTCAAAAGGTTGACGAGTCCCCTCGCGTTGCCCCGCGTTCGTTTGAAGGAGGCACACATGTCACTTTCCTGTGTTGGAACGAATGAAAGGGCCGCCCGGAACGGTAACGCCGGGTTCACATAGAGCGCCGGTCCCTACCTCAATTCCAAACAACGCAAAGTATTACCACATCATCTTCTGGAATACCGCTCGCTACCGTGACTGCAACTCAACACAAAACTGCCAAAAGGGCTGCTCGGAAGAATTCCAATATATAATATAATTTTTATATATGAAACACATGGATCGCTTTGGCGCGATCCATATAAAAAAAGCAAGAACAAACAGAAGAAGATTCCAACTTTCGGAGAGAGATAAAAAATGCAAAAATGTTGTTGCAGAAAAGATGAGTGCCGGGCTGTTTTTGTTTTTTTTTTGCGTTTTGCTTGTTTGTTGTTTTTTGTTGTTCTGTCCGTCGTGAAGGTTGGCGGCTCCCGGTCGGTTTCCCACGCAGGAAGGGTGAACCAACTTCCACCACCCTTATAGTTCCCCATTCCACCACTTGGAAGTTCGCCGCATCTCATTTACAACCCACCACCAGGTTTCCCGCCCGCACACCGATCCATCGGCACATCCGGCGCCCCCGTCGCCCACTGCTCCAACGTAACATACGTGGTATACACCATGGCCGCCGTCCCAAACGCCGCAAGAATCAAGTCCTTGACTCGCTCCAAATTGGACCTCGCAATATGATAATGAAATAAACTTGGATAAATAAAGCTCAGGGGGATGCACGCGAAGCATCCGACGAGACTGACAAACTTGTCTAGGTTGTTGCTTCCAAAGTAGGCTACGCCGCCGAGGACGCCTACGAGGAAGGCGCGGTAAAAGTTTTTCTGCCATTTGACGACTGGGTCGGATTTGCCGTCGCGGAAGCCAAACATGGCTTGTTCGGTGATGCGGATGGTGGGGTAGACCGTTAGCGGGAAGGAGAGCATGATGGCCGCCGCGTAAAAGAGTTGGATCGTCAGGACGTGTGGGCCTTTGGGGAGGTTCAGGAATACGATGGTTTCGACGCCTGTGCCGAAGGTGAGGTATCCCATTGCTCCAATCACGATGAAAATGACAGCAATGGCGACGATGCAGAGGGTGAGAACACGATTGAAATGGTCGGGGCGTTTCATCGACTCGGCGATGGGCAGAATGAGGCAGATGCCTTCAAAGGCAAACATGGCGGTTCCGACAAACAGAGGGAAACTCTCCATGTTGAACCAGACAAGGCCCGGGGCGGGGCCGCGGGTGGATAGGATGGTGATGTCGTAGTAGAAAACGTACGAGAGACCCAAAAGAATAAATACGTCCGCGATCAGAGATGTGAGACTGAAATGCTTGATTTTCCGAATCCATGCTAAGGGGATGTACAGGAGAAGTTGGAAGATGATGAATGCCCAATCGGGGAGGACGACTTTACAGTTGGACGAGACCATGACGAAGTCGCGGAGGTTCTGCGCTACAAAAATATAGTAGGCGCAACAGAAACCGGCCTGTAATGAGGGGAGGATTTGAAACGTCAATTCGTCGTTCGCGTGACGAGACAGTTCATGACTCGATACTGACCTGAGATAGAGCAATCGATGCCAAAACGAGCTGCCTAACTCTGGGCCCATATAATTTCTCGCCCAAGTCGCCAAACGACCCTCCCAGCTCGCGACTCGTTTCCACAAGTAGCATCATGCAATGCAGGGTGAGATACGCAATGATGACCATCAGGATGATCGAAAAGCCCATGCCACCGTTCGCAAACGCCTTTGGCAAGAACAGCACCCCCGTCCCCACAAATGCTTTGAGAAGCATAAAGAAGGCCTTCTTATCGGATGTGCCATGGATGGCAGCGACGGACGGCGTACGCGACCGCGGGACCAGAGGCGTATCTTCCGCAGGCTCTTCGTCGCCACCACTCGGGCCTCCCACTCCGCCAGGCGATACCGGAGGGAATCCATTTTCTACGTCAACATCCTCATCGTCATAATAATCAGGCATGACATCCCCGCCATAGAATCCATATAGCGCCAGGAAATCCATGAAATTGGCGGTGAGAAGGTTTGGTGGAGCGTTTCCTTCGTTTTCGGCTTTAGTGTGGACGAAATGGCGCCGAAACATGCCAGGCGTATGAAAATCGGAAGCACGATTGAAGGCGGCATCTTCTCCTAGGATTCCTCCGGTAGGAACGCCCGGTTCTGAATTCCGTCTACGATGGTGGATGGATTCTCTCCGTTCTTGCCATTGGTAAATATCTCTGGTGACCTCCCCTAAAGGAAAGGCAAGTCCACAGGTTTAATCTCCGAGAACCAAAATTGAAGGCAATAAATATTGGTTACGCGGAAAATACGTACCCCCCAATAAATTATGCGAAACTGAGCCAACAAAAGACCCCGCGCCTTCACCGCTGTCGCCGTTCGCTGCCTCGGACGGCTGCACAAGATGCTCCGAAACCAGCCGCGCTACGTCGGCTTCCGAAAGGGCACCTTCATCCGCACCCGAGCCGTTCTTGCTCCTGATCGACGAACCGGCACCCGCGTCCGGGGAGGATCCGGCAAATAATTGGGATACCGGATCCCCGTTGTTTGGAAGGGTGCCGTAACTCCTTTTATTGGACGGACTGGGTACATATGCAGGAGGCGTGCCGAACCCATTTTCTACGGAACGACCGCTACCGATGGAAGCGCCGGAAGGAAGAGGTGGAGACGACTTGCGACCAGGAATTGAACGTGGGAGGGAGCGACCGAGCGCCGATGGTCTTTCGAATGACGAATTGGACCCATACGATGATGGTGCGGGCAAAGCCTGTGGGAAGGAAAGGGACACCAAGTCAACTTTACTGCGTTGTTCCATTATGATTCCTGCGACCCTCTGTTGCGGCTATCGCGTCCTTCCCATGGAGATCACTGGGAGCGGACTCACCGGCTGTTTCAGTTGGTTTCCACCACCGGCTACAGCAATTGCAGGACTTTTTGCGACCATTGCGTTTCTGCTCGCACGTTTTCCCAGTGGTCGTTGCGAAGACATTATTCTAAGTTGATGATGGTGGTGGGATATAGGTCTTCGGGGGGGTTGTCTCTGGTCTCTTCTTCCTTGTTTCCAAGGGACTCTGGTCTTGTGTTGAACGACGGGGGGCCGAGACGCTCGTATCTTGGATGACATAAGCTAGAGGCCGCATTGAGGCGTCTGAGGCACGCACCCAATCAAACAAAGGCTTATTGATGGGCGCCTCATTGCTCGGATCACCTGCTGATCACCTGACGAGTCTCATTCTTTGGTCAGCAGACGCGTGGTCAAAGTCACGTCGAGGTTCCACGCAGCTTGCCGCCAGTTTCTGTTGACGAGAATGCAAGTCAAGTACGTCTGCTTCTGTTTGTAAGTGGGGGGCACGTGGTTAAATATGTTGAGGAGAATCTCTGATGGGAGGAAGGCGGCTCTGCGATATGACAGCGCGCGCTGCAGTTTGTTTGGGGTGTTCGTTGAGCCAGGTGGAGATGTGCGCAAAATGAAGGAAACGATGACAAGATGATGGGACGTGTCCTTTTTGTCATTCAGTCGCAGCTGTGGTTTGCCAATCGCGAAGCCACTCCAAGCACTGCGCGCGTTGCCCGCGAGGAGCCCTTTTCTTGACGACATACAGTACATACAACTTTACAATACCCACACGCTTCATCTCCGAACCGGACTGGACCACGAAAACCTGGATAGAAACAGCATTTTGAAATCAGCACATTCCGGCGATTATCTTCTTGCTTTTACCAGGAGATGGGGCATCGTCGACTTCCATGGCCTGCATTCTGGGTTCATCTTAGAATTTTACAAGAACAGTGGACTCATTGCCCGTATTATTGAATTTTATGATGTATTTGAAGACTAATTACAAAGGGAAAAGAAAATCAAACACAGGCCCAATAATAATAGTGCCTACGCTCGATCCAAATGCGGATCTGGAAAGTCAAGCAACTTCATAACCACAGTAGCAAACGCAACGCCAAAACGACTCTCCATTTCCTTGTAGATCCAATGGAATGGATACTCGGCGCACATGTGGTGATCCAAGAACAGTCGCCCCACCTTTGGATTTCTGGCGAACCTTGCATCACTCCCACCACGTTGCCTCAACACGCACAAAAAGTAGTCCTTTACCTCGCCCGAAAACACGTGCCACTCATCCACCCCCTTCCACGAGCCGGCCACCGCCAGGTCATACGTCGGAGCCAATACAAGGCCGAACTTCGTCCAGACGAGTCCACCCTTTCCAACCGCAAACGTACGCAATTGTTTCGGGAACGTGCGGTTGAATGCATCGATCCCAGCTGCCATCGTAAGCTCGTCGATGCCGTTGTGGAGCAAGAAGCCAAGCGTTCCGTCTTTGGAGGGCGTCGCGAGTTTACGGAAGATTTGGAGTTTGTCGGTGAAGTTCAGGGACATGTCGATGCGGCCAGTGGTGGCCCTCATTAGTAAATCGGCAAGATCGAAGCGGATGGCGCT